GCCTCTCCAGCCAATGGGCAAGCGGTCCAGCACGGAGGGCATCCATCCGCCTTGGTTGCCTAGCAACCGCCATGTGCCTCCTGCATCCCGGCATCCTCTCTCTGGAGAGACAAGGCACCGCAAAAGGGAGGGAATGAGGGAGAGAAGGAAGGAGAGCGGGCGGAGGAAACGAGACTGGGGAGGGTCTCCTGGCAATTAGGGAAGAAGGGAACGAGAAAGTGGTGGTGATAGACAGAGAGAGAGAAAAGAAGGGCTATGAAGAGGCAGGGAAACGCTTAGGAAGGATGCACTGATGGTCAAGAGCTTTCCTATAGAGAAGGATGTTGCCCAGAGCCTCCTTCTCTAGAGGTTTCCATCCTGGCCATCTGTTGGGAGGGATCAGGTTGTGTCTTTCTACCTGGTAGAAGGGAATGGCAGTGGTTGCACTTTGGGGCAGTGGATGCACTTTTCTATTATCCAACGATAATAGAAAAGAATAGGAAAGAAGTCATGCAAATTTCACACCAATGGAGTGAGTCGGAAACACTGGGGTGCCTGTGGTGGAGGAAACACATAGAATCTAGGAGGAAATTATCCCCATGTTTAAGCCTGTGTGCAACAGAAAATGATAGTAAGGGGTTGAGAGAGAGAATGGGGGGGGGGGGGTAATGCAAATTCCACACCAATGGAGACAGTAAGGAACACTGGGGTGCCTGTGCTGGAGGAAATACGTAAAATCTAGGATGAAATTATCCCCGTATGAAAGCCTGTGTGTCATAGTATAGAATAGGAAAGGGTTGAGGGAGAGGCAGTGGGCGGGGTAATAAAAATTCCACACCAATGGAGAGAGTAAGGAACACTGGGGTGCCTGTGGTGAAGGAAACACATAGAATCTAGGAGGAAATTATCCCCGTATTAAAGCCTGTGTGACACAGAAAAGAGTAGGAAAGGGTTAAGGGAGAGGCAGTGGGCGGGGGTCATGCAAATTCCACACCAATGGAGAGAGTAAAAAACACTGGGATGCCTGTGGTGGAGGAAACACGTAAAATCTAGGATGACATTATCTCCCTATTAAAGCTCGTGTGCCATAGAAAATAATAGGAAAGTGTTATGGGAGAGGCAGTGGGCAAGGGTAATAAAAATTCCACACCAATGGAGAGAGTAAGGAACACTGGGATGTCTGTGATGGAGGAAACATGTAAAATCCCAAGCGGACTCCATGATGATGTGTGGGAATGTTCTCGAAAGGCCAAGCCTGGCTTTGGAAGTTTCCCATCCTCAGCTTCATCTCCCTCTCTGGCCCGCCTTAAGGCTCTCCTCCCATCTCTTCTGGCCATAAATCCAGCCTCAAAATAGCCATCGGCTTGGCTTCGGGTGCGGAAAAAGACTTATTCCGCTTCAGAGAGGCTTTGCCATCAATCGATCAGGCCATCAACCGATCCTTCTGATGTGAGCCTCCTGCAAAAGACAAACTGCAAAACCAAACCTACCAGATGGGGAGAATTATTGTATTATTATTATTATTATTATTATTATTATTATTATTATTAATTTACCGACACAATAATAATATTAATTATTATTATTATTATTATTATTATTTTACTGACACAATAATAATAATAATACAATAATTCTCCCAATTCTGGTAGGTTTGGTTATTATTATTATTATTATTATTTTACTGACATAATCATTATTGTATTATTATTATTATTATTATTATTATTTTACTGACACAATAATAATAATAATAATAATAATAATAATAATAATAATAATAATACAATAATTCTCCCAATTCTGGTAGGTTTGGTTATTATTATTATTATTATTATTATTATTATTTTACTGACACAATTATTGTATTATTATTATTATTATTATTATTTTACTGACACAATAATAATAATAATAATAATAATAATAATAATAAAATACAATAATTCTCCCAATTCTGGTAGGTTTGGTTATTATTATTATTATTATTATTATTATTTTACTGACACAATAATAATAATAATAATAATAATAATAATACAATAATTCTCCCAATTCTGGTAGGTTTGGTTATTATTATTATTATTATTATTATTATTTTACTGACACAATTATTGTATTATTATTATTATTATTTTACTGACATAATAATAATAATAATAATACAATAATTCCCAATTCTGGTAGGTTTGGTTATTATTATTATTATTATTATTATTATTTTACTGACATAATAATAATAATAATAATAATAATAATACAATAATTCTCCCAATTCTGGTAGGTTTGGTTATTATTATTATTATTATTTTACTGACACAATAATAATAATAATAATAATAATAATAATAATACAATAATTCTCCCAATTCTGGTAGGTTTGGTTATTATTATTATTATTATTATTATTATTTTACTGACACAATAATAATAATAATAATAATACAATAATTCTCCCAATTCTGGTAGGTTTGGTTATTATTATTATTATTATTATTATTATTTTACTGACATAATAATTATTGTATTATTATTATTATTAATTTACTGACACAATAATAATAATAATACAATAATTCTTCCAATTCTGGTATGTTTGGTAATTATTATCATTATCATTATTATTATTTTACTGACACAATAATAATAATAATAATAATAATAATACAATAATTCTCCCAATTCTGGTAGGTTTGGTTATTATTATTATTATTATTATTATTATTATTATTATTATTATTATTTTATAATTATTATAATGACATAATAATAATAATAATAATAATACAATAATTCTCATTCTGGTAGGTTTGGTAATTATTATTATTATTATTATTATTTTACTGACATAATAATAATAATAATACAATAATTCTTCCAATTCTGGTATGTTTGGTAATTATTATCATTATCATTATTATTATTTTACTGACACAATAATAATAATAATAATAATAATAATATTATTATTATTATTTTACTGACACAATTATTTTACTGACATAATAATTATTGTATTATTATTATTATTAATTTACTGACACAATAATAATAATAATAATACAATAATTCTTCCAATTCTGGTATGTTTGGTAATTATTATCATTATCATTATTTTACTGACACAATAATAATGATAATAATAATAATAATAATAATAATAATAATACAATAATTCTCCCAATTCTGGTAGGTTTGGTTATTATTATTATTATTATTATTATTTTAAATGGCCATGGCTCAATATTTATTTATTGTGTCAGGCAACCGAACAGTTGTATTACATTTTTTGACAGAACAAACAAACAAACATACAAAAGACACAGAACCATGGCTCAATGATAGCAATGAGATGGCAGTGAAGGCCATTCCCTTTGCCGCCCTCTTGTGGACACAGGAATATTTGCACTTGCCCTGAGATTCTGATCTCTAATCCTTTGCTGCCCTCAAGTGGCCAGGCAAGAAAATGCACCCTTCAGCCATGGAGGGCGACTCTCTGCTGCCATCATGTGGATATTATGGAAAACTGCAACTCCATATTACAAAGTAAAGTGTATGATATTTCCCACCAAATAGGAAAGCAAGAAAGAAGGAAAGGGGGGAAAACAAGGCATTGACATCTCCAGTCCATCCCCTGTTCGGATATCAGCCATCAAGCCAAAGCCTTAAATAAAAAAAAGCTTCTTAAGATCTATAGAGATACTCGCAGGAACACTTCAGCAAGTAAGAGTCCAAAAATGGCAGGCTCAAACCCAGTGACTGATGTCGGATGAGCGACTCCATCCTGGCCATACAGAAGAGTGGATGTTGGTCATTGGGGTGCTGTGTGGGAAGTTTGGCCCAATTCTATCGTCGGTGGGGTCCAGAATGCACTTCGATTGTAGGTGAACTATAAATCCCAGCAAGTACAACTCCCAAATGTCGAGGTCTATTTCCCCCAAACTCCAACAGTGTTCACAGTTGGGCATACTGAGTATTTATGCCAAGTTTTGTCCCAATCCATCATTGTTTGAGTCCACAGTGCTCTCTAGAGGTAGGTGAACTACAGCTTCCAAACTCAAGGTCAATGGCTACCAAACCCTTCCAGTCTTTTCTGTTGGTCATGGGAGTTCTCCATACCAAGTTTGGACAAATTCCATAGTTGGTGGAGTTAAGAAGGCTCTTTGTTTGTGAACTATAAATATAGTTTATAGGTGAACTATAAATCCCAGCAAGTACAACTCCCAAATGTCAAGGTCTATTTCCTCCAAACTCCACCAGTGTTCACATTTGGGCATATTGAGTATTTGTGCCAAGTTTGGTCCAGATCCATCATTGTTGGAGTCCATAGTGCTCTATGGATGTAGGTGAGCTACAACTCCCAAACTCAAGGTCAATGCCCACAAAACCTTTCCAGTATTTTCTGTTGGTCGTGGGAGTTCTGTGTGCCAAGTTTGGTCAAATTCCATAGTTGGTGGGGTTCAGAATGTGCTTTGATTGTAAGTGAACTATAAATCCCAGCAAGTACAACTTTCAAACGTCAAGGTCTATTTCCCCCAAACTCCATCAGTGTTCACATTTGGGCATACTGAGTATCCGTGCCAAGTTTGGTCCAGATCCATCACTGTTGGAGTCCACAGTGCTCTCTGGATGGAGGTGAACTACAACTCCCAAACTCAAGGTCAATGCCCACGAAACCTTTCCAGTATTTTCTATTGGTCGTGAGAGTTCTGTGTGCCAAGTTTGGTCAAATTCAATAGTTGGTGGAATTCAGAAGGCTCTTTGATTATAGGTGAACTATAAATCCCAGCAACTACAACACCCAAATGACAAAATCAATCCCAAGCCCACCAAATGTGGTGTATCGGGTATTTGTGCCAAATGTAGTCCAGTGAACGAAATTACCCTTTTGCTTTTATAACCAAAACTATACATCCCAGGATGATTTTACATCCCAGRAATCATCCTGGGATGTATAGTTTGCTAAGCCCMCCCCCCCCCCCCAAGACAGTCCATTCATAGCATGTATTTAACTGGGTTTTCTTTATTCAAACCAAAAAAAATATTATATGGCCAATAAAAATAACAAAAATGATGTGGAATATGGACAAACAAATCATATCAACACACATACATGAGAACCCTCCCCCGCTCGCAAATTACATATATTTACATGGATGTTGATGCACATGCTAATTTGAAAACATAGATTCCCCCTGAAATTCATTGAAATCCCATCTCCTTGGATGTTTTGGACCGATATGTGGGGAGACTACAACTCCCAGAATCCCCGAAACACTGCTCTGTTGTTGGACTACAACTCCCAGCATCCCTCAGGCTGCTGGGAGTTGCAGTCCTGCAACTTCGTGTTGAATGTGGGCCGAATCTGATTGCATTGGTGGGGCGAATCCTCCCTCGATCAGCCGGGGAAAAGGGACTACAAAGCCCAGCATCCCCAGGACAGCCGAAAACCGGGACGGCAGAGGATGAATGGGGACTCGGCTCTTCTTCTGGACTGGTGTGATACCAGCAAACATATACACACGTGTATACATCCGTGGTCAAGCCAATACTGATGTCCCAAGGCACTACAGCACCCAGAAGGCTTTGGACACGCTCCGAGGAAGCCCCGCCACTCGCGGCCGACACTTTCAGTCTGGAAAAAGAAGAGAAGAGAAGAGAAGAGAAGAGAAGAGAAGAGAAGAGAAGAGAAGAGAAGAGAAGAGAAGAGAGAAGAGAAGAGAAGAGAGAGTTTTCCTCCATCAGGATTGACACAGCTCGTTGGGAAGGAAAAGTTCTTGAGAACTTCATGAACTTCCTCTCTTTGGTCTCATCTTCCTCTCTACCTTTCTCCTTCTCTTCTTCTTCTCTCCTTCTTTCCCCCTCCTCTTTTCTTTCCTCCTCTTCTTCCTCTCCTCATCCTTCTCTTCTAAACCTCTTCCTCCTATTCACCCACCCTTGCTCTTCTCCTTCTTCCTCCTATTTACCCCCCCCCCTTGGTCTCCTCCTTCTTCCTTTTCTCCTTCTTTTCCCCTTCCTCTTTTCCTTCCTCCTCTTCTTCCACTCCTCCTCCTCTTCTCCTCTCCTCTTCCTCATATTCACGCCCTAGCTCTCCTCCTTCTTCTAGCTCTCCTCCTATTCTTCTGCACCTCTTCTCCTCCTTCTTCCTCTTTTCCTTCCCTCCTCCTCTCCTTCCTCTTGCTCCTCTTATTCACCCCCTCTTGCTCCACTTTCTTCTTATTGTCCTTCCTCATCTTCTCCTTCTCCTCCTCCCTCTTTTCTTTCCTCCTCCTATTCTGAACCTCTTCCTCATATTAATCCCTCTTATTCGCCTCCTTCCTCTTTTCCTTCTCCTCCTCCTCCTTCCTCTTCTTCCTCTCCTCCTTCTCTCTCCTCTCCTTTTCCTTCTTCTTCTTCTTTCCTCCTCTTCCTCCTCTCCTCCTCCTCCTCTTCTGCACCTCTTCCTCCTATTCACCCCCTCTTGCTCTCCTCCTTCTTCCTCTTTTCCTTCCTCCTCCTCTTCTCATTCTTCCTCTTTCCTTTCCTCCTCTTCTTCTGAACCTCTTCCTTCTATTCACCACTCTTGCTTTCCACTTTCTTCCTCTTTTCCTTCCTCCTCTTCTTTTCCTTCCTCTTTTCTTTCCTCCTCTTCCTCCTCTCCTCCTCCTCCTCTTCTGCACCTCTTCCTCCTATTCACCCCCTCTTGCTCTCCTCCTTCTTCCTCTTTTCCTTCCTCCTCCTCTTCTCATTCTTCCTCTTTCCTTTCCTCCTCTTCTTCTGAACCTCTTCCTTCTATTCACCACTCTTGCTTTCCTCCTTCTTCCTCTTTTCTTTCCTCCTTTTCTCCTCCTCCTCCCCTTTTTCTTTCTCTTCATCTCATCTTCCACTCCTCCTCTTCTTCTGCACTTCCTCCTCCTATTCACTTCCTCTTTCTCTCTTCCTTATTCCTCTTCTCCTCCCTCTTTTCCTTCATCTTCTTCCTCCTCCCTTTGGTCTTCCTATTCATCCCCTCTTGTTCACCTCCTTCTTCCTCTTTTCCTTCCTCTTCTCTTCTTCTTCCTTCCTCTTTTCCTCCTTCTTCTCTTTTCCTTCCTCCTTTTTCCTTCCTCTTCTTCCTCCTCCTTTTCTCTTCCTCTTCCTCCCTTCTTCCTCTTTTCCTTCTTCCTCTTTTCCTTCCTCTTCTTCTCCTTCCTCTTTTCTTTCCCCCTCTTCTCCTCCTCATTCTTCCCCTTTTCTTTCCCCCTCCTTTTCTTCCTCCTTTTGCTCCTCCTATTCACTTCCTCTTTCTCTCTTCTTTCTTCCTCTTTTCCTTCCTCCTCCTCCTCTTCTTCGGCATTAAAAAGGTTGAGAAGAAATTCCAGATGGGAAGGGCTGTTTGGCAGTGGACTATACGTTGTTGCCTGGGAGTCCCCTCCTTGGTGGGCTTTGAAGCAGAGGCTGGATGGCCATCTGTCGGGGACGCTTGCATTGTGTGTCCTTGCCTGGCAGAAAGAAGAGGGCTGGACTGGATGGCCTTTGGGGTGGGTGCCTTCCCAGGCTGTGATTCTGCAATTTGCGTGCCAAAGCCTGGCAGCCCATCCTGCAGGGATCGTTGTTGTCGCTGCCTGTGTTTAAAAATAAACCCAGCGCCCAGGAACACCGCGGCCCGTATGAATTATGCACGGGAAGTGCGCCTGCCTTCCCTTATTCCTCTGGCACCGCGCCTTGCCACTTCTGGAAAGGCTGGCAGCACAAAGAGAGTCCAACCAAATGAAGGTTCCTTGATGCCCGGGGGCGGAGGGGAACCAATCCCGGGAAGGGCCAATCCTTTCTCTTTTAGGTGGAGAAATGGGGCTGTTGCCCCACATACGAATTCTTTCCCCACCCCTAGAATACTCCTCCAAACCACACATTTTTAGTACTGCAAACACTTTAAACTCCAGCTGTGCATTTTAGGAAAGGGCCAAGCAACGGGAAAAGCAGAGAGAAAGGTTCTAGGTACTCCTAAAGTCTCTAGATGCTTCCAAAAAGGAGTTGAAAGGGCCAGGCAATATGGAAAGCAGACAGAAAAGTTCTAGGTACATCTAAAGGCTCTAGATGCTTCCATAGAGGTGTCAAAAGGGCCAGGCCAAGAGGAAAGCAGACAGAAGGATTCTAGGTACTCCTAAAGGCTCTAGATGCTTCCAAAGAGGTGTCAAAAGGGCCAGGCTAAGGGGAAAGCAGACAGAAAGGGTTCTAGGTACTCCTAAAGTCTCTAGATGCTTCCAAAAAGGGGTGGAAAGGGCCAGGCAATGTGGAAAGCAGACAGAAGAGTTCTAGGTACGTCTAAAGGCTCTAGATGCTTCCAAAGAGGTGTCAAAAGGGTCAGGCTAAGGGGAAAGCAGACAGAAGGATTCTAGGAACTCCTAAAGGCTCGAGATGCTTCCAAAAAGGGGTTGAAAGGGCCAGGCAATGTGGAAAGCAGATAGAAGAGTTCTAGGTTCATCCAAAGAAGCATTTTCAGGGAAGGGCCAAACAACAGGGAAAGCAGACAGAAGGGTTCTAGGTGCTTTAAAGGAAGCTTTTCAAGGAAAGGGCAAGGCAACGGGGAAAGCAGATGAGTTCTAGGTGCATCTAAAGAAGCATTTTCAGTGAAAGGCCAGGCAACAGGACAAGCCGACCGAAGGGTTCTAGGTGCTTCCAAAGAAGCACTTTCAGAAAGGGTCAGCCAACAGGGCAAGCAGACAGAAGGATTCCAGGTGCTTCTAAAGACTCTTGATGCTTCTAAAGAGGTGTTGAAAGGGCAAAACAACGGGGAAAGTAGAAGAGTTCTAGGTGCACCTAAAGAAGCATTTTCAGGAAAGGGCCAGACAACTGGGCAAGCAGACAGAAGGGTTCTAGGTGCTCCTAAAGGCTCTTGATGCTTCTAAAGAGATATTGAAAGGGCAAGGCCACAGGGAAAGCAGACAGAAGGGTTCTAGGCGCTTCTAAAGCAGCTCTTAAAGGAAAGGGCAAGGCAATGGGGAAAGCCACATTCTAGGTGCATCTAAAGAAGCCTTTTCAGGAAAGGGACAGATAACTAGGCATGCAGACAGAAGGGTTCTAGGTGCTTCTAAAGATTCTTGGTGCTTCTAAAGAACTTCTGAAAGGGCAAGGCAATGGGAAAATCAGAATAGTTCTAGGTGCATCGAAAGAAGCCTTTACAGGAAAGGGTCAAGCAATGGGGAAAGCAGACAGAAGGGTTCTAGGTGCTTCTACAGCAGCTCTTAAAGGAAAAGGCAAGGCAACGGGGAAAGCAGAGTTCTAGGTGCATCTAAAGAAGCATTTTCAGTGAAAGGCCAGGCAACAGGACAAGCTGACCAAAGGGTTCTAGGTGCTTCTAAAGAAGCACTTTCAGGAAAGGGTCAGCCAACAGGGCAAGCAGACAGAAGGGTTCTAGGTGCTTCTAAAGAAGAAAGGGCAAGGCAACAGGGAAAGCAAATAGTTCTAGGTGTATCTAAAGAAGTATTTTCAGGAAAGGCCCAGGCAACAGGGGAAAGCAGTTAGATGGGTTGTAGATTATCGTAAGGATGCCAGATGCTTATAACTCACCGGCCAATGCATCATAGGAGGTGGCAACGGGCGCCTGCGTCTTCCGAATGGTCGCAGTTGTGGACGTTCCAGCGAATGTGGGAGCAGCGCAAGAGGGAGGCCTCATCCCCTTTGCACTTGAGGTTGTCCAGGAAGATGTAGCCAGTGCCCTGGCCGTAGCGGGCCTCGCCGGAGGCGGACAGCGCCCGGCCGCAGCCCAGTTGCCGGCACACCACCCGGGCGTCCTTGAGGTCCCAGGCATCGTCGCACACCGTGCCCCACTGCGAGAGCAGGAAGAGCTCCACGCGGCCCTCGCAGCGGTGGCTCCCGTTGACCAGGCGCAGGAAGCCTGCGCAAAGAGCACAATCAAAGCACTGATCCCCAAACGCGGCAGGTTTCCCCTCCACCACCTCGCAGGCATACCATCCTTGGGCCGAAGGGTCGTGGAGGCCGTCGTGGGCAAGCTCTCCTCCAAGAAGGGATCCCCCAATTCACCGGCACCTGGGAGAAAACAAAGGGGGAGATATATATATATATCTCGCCTTCGGGCTGATATGAGCGGGGTAGAAATAATGCAAATAAATAAATAAATATATAAGGCATGTGCAATCCATGGTTCTAAATAGTTCTAAAGTACTTACAAAACTAAAATTCCGGTGGTGGAAACTAGGGGGCGCTGGTGCTTTGCTTCTACAGTGCTGCTAAAGTTCTGGTGGTGAAAATTCAAGAACTCTAACAAAACTTTCAAAATTTCATTATAAATGGCAGTTCCTAATTGGTTCTGTCATAAAAATCATCAATAATGAAATAATAATGAAATTTTGAAAGTTTTGTTAGAGTTCTGAAATTTTCACCACCAGAACTTTAGCAACACTGTAGAAGCAAAGCACTAGCGCCCCCTAGTTTTCACCACTATTGATTATTTGTTATTGCCTTTGTTTATTGATGTGCTCTGCAAGTCGCTTCTGCTGTGAGAGAATTGGCCGTCTGCAAGGACGTTGCCCAGGGGATGCCTGGATGATTTGATGTTTTTATCATCCTTGTGGGAGGCTTCTCTCATGTCCCCGCATGAGGAGCTGGAGCTGATAGAGGGAGCTCATCCACGCTCTCCCCGGATTCGAACCTGCGACCTGTCTGTCTTCAGTCCTGCCAGCACAGGGCTTTAACCCACTGCGCCACCTTTAGAACCATTTAGAAGCATGGATTGCACTTGCCATATATATATATGTGTGTGTGTGTGTGTGTGATGTATATTATTTATCTTTACTGTCTTTACTGTATATATATTCACACACACACACATGCATGCATGCCTTGGAGACCTTTATAGATAGATAGATAGATAGATAGATAGATAAGATAGATAGATAGAGTGTGTGTTTGAGTGTGTGTATGTGTGTATATGTATGTGTATATATATATATATATATATATATATATATATATATATCCAAGGCATGCATGTATATGTGTCTGTGCGTGATTACATATATATATATATTATATAATATAGCCGTCCCCTGCCACGTGTTGCTATGGCCCAGTCTGTGTATGTGTGTTTTGTGTGTGTATATATGTATATAGATGTGTGTGTATATATTTGTGTATATATGTGGTTTTGTGTATGCATTGTAAAGTTTTTTTTAATTTTTTGGCTTTTAAAGTCTCTTTTTCTGTATTTTTCAGTGTTTTGTGAGTGATGGTCGCTCGTCGGCCTGTTAGGGGTGTAGTGTCCAAATTTGGTGTCGATTCATACAGTGGTTTTTGAGTTATGTTCATCACAAAAACAGATATGATATTTTTATTTATATAGATATATTATAATAGTAATATATATATATATATATATATATATATCTCCAAGGCATGCATGTATACATCTGTGTGTGTGCATGTGTGTGTGCGTGTCTGCGTATGTGTGTGTGTGTGTGTGTATATATATATATATATTCTATATTCTATACTATAATATATATATGATGTTTAAAGTGGCTTACAAGTAATATGTAATTACAATATATTATATCATTACCATAGCACAATATTAGTATATTATATATTACTATATTATATATTATTAATATTAATATTATATATTACTATATTGTAGTATACCTTTATAATATTATTATTAGTAATAGTACATTATATATATGTGTGTGTGTATGTGTGTGTGTGTATATATATATATATATTACTATTAGTAATAGTTTATGTAATATATATATATAAAATAGTGCTTTGGGCGACAACTCCCAGTATCCCATACCCAGTGGCCATGCTGGGAGTCGTAGTCCAAATCCAATGTCCCTTGATTATGGGTCTCGGTACCTCCACAATGTCACAATGACGGGGTCTTGTTTTTAACTAAGCGGTGATGCAGGCTGGTCTGGTCTGTGCTTGTGTTGGGGGGGATTCTGGGAATTGTAGTCCAGCCAAAAATGAAATTTTCCCCATTGGGAGGGGCTCCCAACTGATGGCACAGGAGACATGGTGGAACTGCGTCTTCCTGGCCTCCCTTCTGCACTTACTACGACGCCTGTATCTAATGCGCACTCATTTCGCCCATAAGGGTGAGCATGAGAGTGGCGTCCCATATGGGACTATTCTATGACGGTCACCTGGCGCACCTCGGCAGATGACCCCGGCGTCCTCGTGGTGCCCGCAGTTGTGCTGGCCCCATCCCAGGTGGAAGCAGTCGGCCAGGTCCAGCTCGGCCCCACCACAGTCCACGTTGTCCAGCAGGATGGGCCCCACCCCATAGCCGAAGTAGCCCAGCAGGGTGGCCACCACGGCCGAGCCGCAGCCCACCTGCCGGCAGACCACCTGGGCGTTGGCGAAGTCCCAGTCGTCGTCGCAGACGGTGCCCCAGTCGCCCCCAAAGAGGACCTCCACCCGGCCCTGGCAGCTGCTGTTGCCGTTGGCCAGACGGATGCCCCCACCTGCTGGGAAGACGGGGAGAGGGCGCTCAGAAGGGGCCCCCAATTCGATCCCTCCCGACAGATAGTCAACCACACTCTGCTTGATAATAATAATAATAATAATAATAATAATAATAATAATAATAATAATAGAACTACAGAATCCTAGAGTTGGAAGAGATACCAAGAGCCATCCAGTCCAATCTGATCTTCTAGTAAAAAGGCACTATCTGATCCCTCCTTACAGATGGCCAGCCAGACTCTGAATAATAATAATAATAATAATAATAATAATAACTATAGAATCCTAGAGTTTGAAGAGATTTCAAGAGCCATCCAGTCCAGTCCCATCTCCTAGTAAAAAGACACCATTCGATCCCTTCCAGTTCCATGTTGCAATCAAAAAGCAGGTCAAACTTACTCCGTTTTTCCAGGAGGAGAAGAGCTGGGGTCAGCATGGCCTCCGTCTCCGGCGTTGGTGGCTCTCCTCCTTCAGTGGCTGCAAAGGCACACTTTCTCCAATCAGGAGCGCTCCCCCAAGTGTGATAGAGAGAGAGGTGATAAATAGATGAGAGATGGATGGATGGCATAGATAGATAGATAGATAGATAGATGGATGGAGAGATAGATGGGATGGATGGATGGATGGATGGATGGATGGATGGATGGATGGATGGATGGATGGATGGATAGATAGATAGATAGATAGATAATAGATAGATAGATAGATGAGATGGATGATTGATTGATAGCCAGATAGATAGATGGAGGTATAGATAGATAGCCAGATAGATGGAGGGAGGGGTTGATAGAGTGATAGAGGGATAGATAATAATAATAATTATTATTATTATTATTTTATACCCCGCCACCATCACCCCAAGGGACTTGGCTTACATGAGGCCAAGCCCAGCAACACATCAAAAACAACAAGCAATAATAAAAACAACAAGCAATAAACAAAATAAACAATACAATTAATATAACTCACAAGTAGACAATAACACACAGGAATTTAAAAACCTATGGCTGGGCCAGATGTAATAGTTAAAACTTTAAAAATAAATACTGGACATGAACAGAGGATGTCTCTATTTGGAGGGTTTTTAATCCAACAGGTAATTAAAGTGCTTCTCAGAGTATTTGCATGGGATTGTTTCCTTTATTCAGGGAAGGCACACTGGAACAGCCACGTTTTCAGGGTCCTCCAAAAATAGATAGATAGATAGATAGATAGATAGATAGATAGATAGATAGATAGAGGGATAGAGAGAGGAATAGATGGATAGATAGATAGATAGATAATAGAGACAGACGATGCTCAGGGTGTTGTCGGGCGGAGCATCCTATAGTATAATCATCAGCTAGTACTCGAAGATAGATAGCGTCTATACGCTTGGATCTCATAGAACAAGACAGACCGACAGACAGACAGACAGATGGTGGGATGGGTGGATGGATGGATAGAGGGATAAAAGGATAGATAAATGGATGGATGGATGGATAGCCAGATAGACGGATGGATGGATGGACAGACGGACGGACAGAGAGATAGATGGATGGATGGACAGGCGGATGGAGGGATGGACAGACGGACAGATGGACAGACAGATAGTAGGATAGGTAGAGCGACAGACACAGAGATGGAGGAATAGACAGATGGATGTATAGACAGAGGGATAGACAGATAGACATAGATGGAGGAGTTAGTCAGTTAGATATTTGGATGAATGGATGGATGGAGAGATGGATGGACAGATGGATGGATTGATAGACGGATGGGTGGAGGGATGTATGGATGTATGGATGGATAGATAGATAGATAGACGACAGACAGACAGACAGACAGACCTCCCTAGGGCTGAAAGCGACACTTGCAGGGAAAAGACACCATCGCTCCCAGAATCCAGCCAAACAAACCCCTAGACTTTTGGGAATTCAATTTCTCCCAAATGCAATGAGTGGACTGATCAATCTCCCTGCTGATAAATGGCCCACTATGGGTTTCTGGGGTTGAGGCAATGCTCTCTGGTCTTACCTGTCACCAAATCGGTGAACACCTCGCCATAGATGTGGGCAACGGATGTCGTGATGGGAGCAACCGTCGTCACCCCAAGCCCTGGAAGGACAGAACAGAAAGGGGGGGGGGGGATGCCATATTTATTAGACAACTAGCCTTCTATCTATCTTATATCTCCCTGTATAAGTCTATCGTTCTATCCTTCTATATATTTATTTATTTAGATCTCTCTCTGTCTATCCCTTTACCTATCCTTCTATCTATCTATCTATCTATCTATCTATCTTTGTGTTTTTACCACTTACCTGAGCATACGACGCCGGCGTCCTCGTGGTGCCCGCAGTTATGGATACCCCAGCCTAGGCTGTAGCAGGCCGAGAGGTGCGGCTCGCTCCCGTCGCAGTTGACGTTGTCCAGGAGGATGCGCCCCGTGCCGTAGCCAAAAAAGGCGTTGGTCCGGAAGCCTGTGGCCCGCCCGCAGCCCATCTGCTTGCAGACTACCCCGGCGTCCCGCAGGTTCCAGTCATCGTCGCAGACTGTGCCCCAATGCCCTCGGTAGAAAATCTCCACTCGGCCCTGGCAGGAGTTGGCCCCGTTCACCAGCCGGACGCTCCCGTCGGCTGCAGCAAGAGACAAGAGCCAAAACGGAGGCCAATGGGACTAACCCAGTTGACATCACTGCTCCTGTTGTGGTTCAGCCAAGTGAAGATGAGAGGTTTGGGGGTTCAGAGCCTTTGGAGCAAGATGGTTTTTCATCTAAGGGGACCGAGAGGGTTTTGGAGCAAGATGCTGTTACTGAGACAGAGTGTGAGAGTGAACCTGTTTTGGAAGCCAACAGGCCGGGAGGGGAGGATAACATTAGCATATTATATGTTATTATATTATTATATTACGCCATATATCAATAGTATTATTATATTATATGTTATTATATTATGTCATATATCAATAGTATTATATTATATGCTATTATATTATTATATTATGTCATATATCAATAGTATTATTATATTATATTTTATATTAATAATAATATTATTTTATATGTTACTATACTATTATATTATGTCCTTGGTCATGTCAGGAGCGACTTGAGAAACTGCAAGTTGCTTCTGGTGTGAGAGAATTGGCCATCTGCAAGGACGTTGCCCAGGGGACGCCCGGATGTTTTGATGTTTTACCACCCTTGTGGGAGGCTTGTCTCATGTCCCCGCATGGAGAGCTGGAGCAGATAGAGGGAGCTCATCCACGTTAAACCCCTGTGCCGACAGGACTGAAGACCGACAGGTCGCAGGTTCGAATCCGAGGAGAGGCGGATGAGCTCCCTCTATCAGCTCCAGCTCCTCATGCGGGGACATGAGAGAAGCCTCCCACAAGGATTATAAAAACATCAAATCATCTCCCAGCACTATTAGCCGTTGAGACTCCAACGCCAGGCCCGAGACCACTCCGGCTAGCTCAGGTAGGGAGACTGTAGTGCAGCGGGGTGGTCGGTATACTAACAGAATCCCTATCCTGTCTCAGTCACCAACCCTCCGGTAGACACATTCAAAAGTGGTAGACTGTGGGATGGGGCACCTGGTCAGGGGGATGGTATCCTGATAGACTATTGCAACCCCTCCTCCCCGCCCCTCAGTGCTGCATGGAATAGCCTGGTGGGCAAAGCTGGGAAAGATTACCCCCCCACCCCAGCCTCGTCCAACCAGTTTTTACATTATGCATGCCAGGTCAGCGTGCTCATCAAGGATCAAATCTTGAAAGATAGATGTTTTTCCGTTGACTGACCTGGCGTTGAACAGCACCACTCTTAAACTGGAGGGACCGCCATCCTAGGACCTCAGCTTAACTTTATCACGAGCTTGATTTAAATTTATAAGAGTTCTTTTTATTACTCTAGGCCGAATTGGTAAATTGGATCTGTCACGAATTCTTGGCTGAATTGGTTATTTCGGATCTTCACATATTTCAGGCCACATTGGTAATTTGGATCTTCTACATGTTTTATGCCGGATTGGTAATTTGGGACTCCCTTATAAAATTATAATATAGTACTATTTTGATATATGATATAATGCAGATGTACGGCTTACAAACAACTACTAGTTAAGTATGGGTCTGGACAGGTTGACTTTTGGAGGTCCCTTCCAAATTGGGGACAGCCTGGGTATGTTCAACAACTTTTAAGAGCAACCCCTCTCTCCGTTCAATCCCATGTGCCTTTCTTCCTGGCCGATGGGGGTTGGACTAGATGGCCCCTGGGGGTCTCTTCTCACCCTAGGATTCTATGACAGACTCACAAAGGGGCCACAAAAGGGGGACTCCTCCAAACACTCACTTTCCCCATTTTGTAAGGAGACCGTAGAGGTTTTGCTGGTCGGGCCTCTTGGAACCGGGGTAGGCAAGAGCTCTGCAGACAGAAGCAAAGGGGAGAGAGAAAGGATATTATCCTCGTATTGTTGAAGGCTTTCATGACCAGAATCACTGGGTTGTTGTGTGTTTTCCAGGCTGTACGGCCATATTCCAGAAGCATTCTCTCCTGACATTTGCCTGCATCTATGGTAGGCAACCTCAAGAGGCCTTCACAACCTCTGAGGATGCCTGCCATAGATGCAGGTGAAACATCAGGAGAGAATGCTTCTGGAACATGGCTGTACAGCCCGGAAAACTCACAACAACGCGATATTATCATCCTTTTCTAAACAAACTATATAAATGCCATAAAAATAAATAAATGCCTTATTTAATCAAATCTAATGAACCTTAATCAACAGCTGGTTATACCATATTTACTCAAATCTAATGCGCCTCAAGCAGCAGCTGGTTATACCATATTTACTCAAATCTAATGCGCCTCAAGCAGCAGCTGGTTATACCGTATTTACTCAAATCTAATGCGCCTCAAGCAACAGCTGGTTATATCATATTTACTCACATCTAATGCACCCCAAGCAGCAGCTGGTTATACCGTATTTACTCAAATCTAATGAGCCTCAAGCAGCAGCTGGTTATACTGTATTTACTCAAATCTAATGCGCCTCAAGCAACAGCTGGTTATATCATATTTACTCACATCTAATGCGCCTCAAGAAGCAGCTGGTTATACTGTATTTACTCAAATCTAATGAGCCTCAAGCAGCAGCTGGTTATACTGTATTTACTCAAATCTAATGCGCCTCAAGCAGCAGCTGGTTATACTGTATTTACTCAAATCTAATTTGCCTCAAGCAGCAACTGGTTATACTGTATTTACTCAAATCTAATGCGCCTCAAGCAGCAGCTGGTTATACTGTATTTACTCAAATCTAATTCGCCTCAAGCAGCAACTGGTTATATCATATTTACTCAAATCTAATGCACATTACTTCTGCCAGGAAATACTTTTTTTGGTTTCAGGGTTTACAATGTCATGGTCCATCCAACGGCGCCCGAGACGTCGTACCGTTGCAGGTGACGGCCACATCCTCGTAGTGATAACAGTTGTGGATGCCCCATCCATGGCTGCTGCACTCACTGAGGGCCGCCTCGGTGCCCTTGCAGTCCACGTTGTCCAGGAAGATGGGGCCCCGGCCCTGGCCAAAGGAGAGGGTGGCTGGCATGGCGATGGCCCGGCCGCAGCCCAGCTGGCGGCAGACCACATTGGCGTCCACGATGTCCCAGTCATCATCGCACACTGTGCCCCAGGTGTTGTTGTGCAGAATCTCCACCCGGCCCTGGCACCGGCTGCGGCCGTTGACCAGCTGGATCTCTGGAAGAGAAAGGACAATGGAATATGCCTCCTTGGAAGCTGGCGGAGTCTACTTCCCAGGATGATTATCTATCAGGAGGGATCGGGTTGTGTCCTCCTGCCTAGCAGATAGGGGTTGGACTGGATGGTCCTTAGGATCCCTTCTAATGCTAGGATTCTATGATTCTATAATATGTATTTCTAATAATGGCGGGATGGGCATCTGTCAGGAGGGATCGGATTGTGTCCTCCTGTCTGACAATAAGGGGTTGTTTTGGATGTTCCTTGGGTCCTCTCTAGGATTTTATAATTCTATGATATATATTTCTAATAGGGGCTGGATGGGCATATTTTGGGAGGGATCAGATTGTGTCCTCCTGCCTGGCAGAAAGGGTTGATCTGGATGGTCCTTAGGGTCCCTTCTAACTCTAGGATGCTATGATTCTATGACATTTATTTCGAATAGAGGCTGGATGGGCATCTGTCGAGAGGGATCGGATCGTGTCCTCCAGCCTGGCAGAAAGGGGTTGATCTGGATGGTCCTTAGGGTCCCTTCTAACTCTAGGATGCTATGATTCTATGATATTTATTTCTAATAGAGGCTGAATGGGCATCTTTCAGGAAGGATCGGATTGTGTCCTCCTGCCTGCCAGAAAGGGGTTCGCCTGGATGGTCCTTCGGGTCCCTTCCAACTCTAGGATGCTATGATTCTATGATATGTATTTCCAATAGAGGCTGGATGGGCATCTTTCGGGAGGGATCTGATTGTGTCCTCCTGCCTGGCAGAAAGGGGTTGGTCTGGATGGTCTTTAGGGACTCATCCAACTTTCGGATTCTAGGAAATGTATTTTTATCCAAGGCTAGATGGCCATCTGCCAGGATGGATCGGATGGTGTCAGGCGCCTCACCTGCGATAGGCATCTGCTCAGCCTCCGAGCTTCTAGCTGGAACAGAAAAAGAAGATAGTTCAAGAAGATGTACTGCACTCCCAAGGAGACCCTGGTAGGACTTGAATGAATGAGGACACGAATGTAACTTTTCCTAGCTCTGTACAGAAAGCGGCTGTTTGTCGTTGGGATCACTCAGCGCCGATTAGATACCTGAGACTCGCAGAGCGACGTGCCGGGCAAGGCACCTTGGCTTGGGTTTTAGAGCCAGAGAATGTGTTTGCGGTTGAAAGGAAGGAAGGAGAGTGGAATTTGAGGCCCCGGTCAAGCCATAGGGCGGGTGAGACGTGTCACTTGTGCTCTGATTCCCCACAAGCGACGAGAAGGACATTGCTAATCTGGAATCCCGAAATCCTTCCAAATCCCACATTGGTCCACCTGGGCGGCTGAGACAGTGACATCTTTGCTTTAGGGGTGAGTTCAAAGGCAACAAACTTTGCTTCATACAGAGTTATAACTTATTTGTATTTCATCGCATAATAGTCGCACCTTTGATCCCCCTTTTTAATTGGAAAAAATAATGTGCGACCATTATGTGATGAAAAGGATTTGCCCTTGATTCACTGGTTCTAACAGTTCAAAGGATGTAAACTTTGCATAAAATTGCCTTTGGTCTATATGTATAAGGCAGGGGTCCTCAAACTAAGGTCCGGGAGCCAGATATGGCCCTCTAAGGTCATTTATCCGGCCCTCACTCAGGGTCAACCTAAGTCTGAAACGACTTGAAAGCACACAACAACAACAACAACAACAATCCTATCTCATCAGCCAAAAGCAGGCCCACACTTCCCATTGAAATACCAATAAGTTTATATTTGTTAAAATGGTTCTTCATTTTAATTATTGTATTGTTTTAAAGTGTTTTTTGCACTACAAATAAGATACGTGCAGTGACCATAGGAATTCATTCATTTTTTTTTCAAATTATAATCTGGCCCTCCAACAGTTCGAGGGACTGTGACCTGGTCCTCTGTTTAAAAAGTTTGAGGACCCCTGGTATAAGGCATATATATAAAGCAATAATAATAATAATACTATGTAACACCAAATCAGACACACCGTGTAATCTTTGTGTGTGTTAAGTTATAACTTACCTGCATTTCATCGCATAATAGTAGAACTTTTGTTAATCCCCTTTTAATTGGAAAAAGTGCGACTATTACGTGATGAAAAAGATCTGTCTTTGATTCTCCGGTTCTGACAGTTCAAAGGATGCAAACTTTAATTTGTGCACAAAATTATTCAAAATATTGTGCATAAAATTGCTTTTGGTCTATATGTATATGGTATATATGAAGCAATAATAATAATAATAATAATAATAATAATAATAATAAGTAACATGAAATCAGACACACTGTGCATTCTTTGTTATAGCTTACCCATATTTTATCACATAATAGTCTCATTTTGATCCCCCTTTTTTAAAATTGAAAACACCAAATCAGACACACCATGAGATCTTTGTGTGAACTAAGTTATAACTTATCTGTATTCCGGTCACATTTTTGATAACCCCCTTTTAATTGAAACAAGAGTGTGCGACTATTACATGATGAAAAAGATCTACCTTTGATTCTCCGGTTCTGACAGTTCAAAGGATGCAAACTTTGTTTTGTGCACAAAATTATTCAAAATATTATGCATAAAATTGCTTTTGGTCTATATGTATAAGGTGTAAATGAAGCAATAATAATAATACTAATAATAATAAGTAACACCAAATCACTGTGCATTTTTTGTTATAGCTTACCTATATTTTATCACCTAATAGTCTCTTTTTTTATCCCCCCTTTTTAAAATTGAAAAAAAGCTGTGCGATTATTACACGATGAAAAAGGTCTGCCTTTGATTCTTTGGTTCCTGACATCTTCCTTTATGGCAGAATGGTAAAGAGCACTGTGAACCCACCGGTTATACTATGTAACTCAATTTTTGTTCCTGGATTATAAATGTCATTTCCTAATTGGTTCTATCATAAACACGTAGAAAACGTTTACAAGAGGGACATCCTGCAGCACATTTTGCTATAGTTTACCAACGAAATGTCTCACAGAGTCTAACCCATTCAACAGGAAGGAAAGAAAGGGAGAAGGAAGAGAAAGGAAGAAGGGAGAAGTTGTATGAGGGAAAGGAAAGGAAGAAGTTCAGACTTAAAGCTCACCTGTTGGGAAAAGGTAGAGGAGGGTTGAGAGGATCAGCAAGGCAGGTGGTACCCAGAGTCCAGGCCTCCGATCTTTCTTCCTGTGTCCTGAACAAGGACCAATGTTCATTTCTGCTTCTCACCGGGATTTGCAGCAGATCTCTCAGTGGTCTCCCGGGGAAATAACTTCAAAGCCACACCTGGAAAGGAAGGGAAAACATTGTGAGCATTCCTGACCTCCAATGTTTGAAATATTCATTTTAAGAAAGGTAGCCTCCTCTTTTAAGTCTTGGTTGTTGTTTTCAATGAACCTAAGTCATATATATTGATGTGTTAGGGGCAAACAATACACTCATGGCATTAGCCATAATCATGGCAGTCTGCAAATACAACCTCCTGTTCCATACAAATCCATCACAGTCTGCAAAGAAGGCCTATCTCATATAAAACACTGTCAGGCTGCAAAGATGGCCTCCTGTCTCATGCCAAACTTTTGTCAGTCTGCAAAAAAGGCCTCCTGTCTCATGCAACCCCGTCAGGCTTCAAAGAAGGCCTCCTATCTCATGCAAAACCGAGTKAGTCTMCAAAGAAGGCCTCTTGTCTCATGCAAAACCATGTCAGTCTGAAAACAAGGCCTCCTGCCTTATGCAAAACCATGTCAGTCTGCAAAGAAGGCCTCCTGTCTCATGCAAAACCACACCAGTCTGAAAACAAGGCCTCCTGTCTTATGCAAACCATGTCAGTCTGCAAAGAAGGCCTGTCTCATGCAAAACTGAGTCAGTCTGCAATAAGGCCTCTTGTCTCATGCAAAACCATGTCAGTCTGCAAAGAAGGCCTCCTGTCTCATGCAAAACCATATCAGTCTGCAAAGAAGGCCTCCTGTCTCATGCAAAACCGAGTCAGTCTGCAAAGYAGGCCTCCTGTCTCATGCAAACCATGTCAGTCTGCACAATAGGACTCCTGTCTCATGCAAAATCYAGTCAGTCTGAAAATAAGGCCTCCTGTCTTATGCACACCATGCCAATCTGCAAAGAAGGCCTTCTGTCTCATGCAAAACCATTTCAGTCTGCAAAGAAGGCCTCCTGTCTCATGCAAACCATGTCAGTCTGKAAASAAGGCCTCCTGTTTCATGCAAAACCATGTCAGTCTGCAAAAAAGGCCTTGTCTCATGCAAACCATGTCAGTCTGCAAAGAAGGCCTTGTGTCTCATGCAAACCATGTCAGTCTGCAAAGAAGGCCTCCTGTCTCATGCAAACCATTTCAGTCTGCAAAGAAAGCCTCCTGTCTCATGCAAACCATGTCAATCTGCAAAMAAGGCCTCCTGTATCATGCAAAACCATGTCAGTCTGAAAACAAGGCCTCCTGRTTTATGCAAACCATGTCAGTCTGCAAAGAAGGCCTCGTGTCTTATGCAAACCATGTCAATCTGTAAAGAAGGCCTCTTATCTCATGCAAAACCATGTCTGTCTGCAAAGATGGCCTCCTAACTCATGCAAAACCATGTCAGTCTGCAAAAAAGGCCTCGTCTCATGCAAAGCATGTCAGTCTGCAAAGAAGGCCTCCTGTCTCATGCAAAACTTTTGTCAGTCTGCAAAGAAGGCCTCCTGTCTCATGCAAAACCTTTGCAGTCTGTGTAGGTCCAGCTGTAGAGATTCCACATTCATGCCATTGCCATAAGGCAGTCAACAACAACATGGAGAGGAAACTCTCAGTAGATTCACAAAGTGCACCAGGTTTGAAATCCACCTGCACACCTTCCTGGAGCCAGGACAGGTGGGCGGCTGTTGGCGCGGAGGAGCCACCTCGTCTGCCATCGTGGCACTTTTTTCTCAGCGACTGGCAGGAGAAGGGGAGAGCCGGCCGGGCCCCTCGGCACAAAAGCCGACATTATTCGCCAGAGGAGCCTGGCACCAGGACGGATGAATGGAGCATTCAGGGGCACAAACTTCAGTGTGAGATTATTTTTCACCCCCATAGGCCAATGTGCCAGTTGTGGGCTGTGTGCGAGGAGAGCGAGGCAGGGAGAGGATGCAGATGGTTTCAGTGAGAGAGCCCAAGATATATATATATACACATACGCACACACGTATATACATTCAGTAATACATACAGTATATAAACCCCAGACAAGAAATAATCAGGGACAGCTAATCACCTCTCAACAAAGGATTCCCCCAGGCAGTAAGAAGCCATGCCTTGAAACTACTTGAAACTACTAGGCTATTAAATGCTAATCAAGGTGGCCAATGGCAACATTCACACTTGCCTCCAACGGACAAGAGTTCTTTCTCCCAACCTGGAGTGTCCACAGATATATAAACTCCAAACAAGAAACAATCAGGGGCAGCTGATCACCTCTCAACAAATGATTCCTCCAGGAAAAAGCCACCCCTTGAAACTGCTAGGCCATTAAATACTAATCAAGGTGGCCAATGGTAATATTCACACTTGCCTCCGACAGACAAGAGTTCTTTCTCCCACCCTGGACAGTCCAGACAAGAAACAATCACCTCTCAACAAAGGATTCCCCCAGGCAGTAAGAAGCCGCACCTTGAAAATGCAAGGCCATTCAGTGCTAATCAAGGTGGCCAATCGAGACATTAACACCTACCTCCAACAGACAAGAGTTCTTTCTCCCACCCTGGACAGACGAGAAACAATCAGGGACAGCTAACCACCTCTCAACAAAGGATTACTCCAGGCAGTAAGAAACTACATCTTGAAACTGCAAGGCCATTCAATGCTAATCAAGGTGGCCAATTGAGACATTCATACCTACCTTCAACAGACAAAAGTTCTTTCAGCCCGTAAAACTTACAACACAATCTTTCTAATCAATTCACGCATGACACTCAACTCATACTATTATTTGGCAGATCGAGCAAAGTAGACCAGGATCAAGGCACCTACCTTTTTGACCGTTCCACGTTCCCCTTTTCGAAAGGATGCCAGGGTTACCTTCCCAAATGGAATATTTGGTGATGCAGAATCAAAGGGAAAGAGGAGTCCATGGGAGGAGAGAGAAACCAAAATACATGGGGCGAATGCTTTCTTTTATGCCCAAGGATGCTCCAGACTTTTCTTCCTCCTCCTCTTCTTCTTCGTCCTGCTTTCCTTGCAAAGCAACACAAGGCGCCGAGAAAAGTCCCTCATCCGTCAATCGTGGGGTCCCACTTTCCCATTGCAGGAAGCTTCAAGGCTTAAAGCCAACTTGCAGGAGAGCATCGTTTGGATGCAGATTTGGGGGAGGAAACGGACCGAAACCTGCAGAGAGGTTCGACCGAGACACCTTCAAAGATACATCCTTCTCCGGAGAATGGGTCAGGTTTCCAAAGAGAGGGAAAGGAGGGCAAGAGCCGACTATTTGTACCTGCTCCAAGGCGATGACAGACCTTGGAGGACGGTGGAGACATGGTGGACCCATTTCCCCGCTCCCTTCCCTGGGGCGCCGTCTTCTTCTTCTGTAAGGAATGTGTTTCACTTGAGAGGAAGTCATTGCTGGTCATGTACGAGGGTTGAATGAAAAGTAATGCCTCCACCTTTGTTACTTGGGTTTGGATGGGAATATTTTAATAAATCCAACGCAGAAATAATCCGCAGAACTACCACTATTCACTTTTCCACATAATCACCAGACAATTGGATACATATCTGCCAACGATGAACAAGAGAGAGAGACAGAGCATCCCTACTTTGCGGATTTTCACAACGTAACACCCACAATAAGTGAGGTAACACTCTAGTTAAAAAGCTTTTCTATACCTTGGCTCAGTCCTTCATGAACATAGAGCCTGTTGCAAGAAGATTTAAGATCTGGAAGGCCAGCTCTGAAGGAACGAGGTAAGATCTTCATGTGTCAAGACAGATCACTGAATACCAAAGTCAAGACTTGGACGACAGAACAGACGGCACGCGGGTGAAGTCTGCCAATGACACCAAATTGGGAGAAAGGGCAAAGACCCCAGAGGACAGGTTTTTACATAAAGCCTGGATGGCCATCTGTCAGGGATGATTTGATTGTGCTTTTCCTGCCTGGCAGAAGGGGGTTGGACTAGATGGTCCATGCGGTCTCTTCCAACTCTCCGCAGGGCCACTATAAGTCAAAGTTCACGTGATAGCAAGTGAGAACAACAAAGGACATCGCTCTTCACTGACTGACTGTTCCAACCGAGAGTTCCCCTTCAAGGGAAGATCATGTCCGTCCCACGAGAGAAAATATTTCTGAGCTGCACATATGCTGCGTGAGAACAAGATGGCCTTTGTTCAGTTGCGCCAATTGGTGGAGAAGAGCAACGGCTGCTGCCGCCTCAAGGGCGCAATGTTGAAAAGGGGGTCTGGGTCGTGCCAAGTATCTTCTGCAGGAGACCCACGGCGGGTGCTTGGAGCGCGAACGAGATACACAGGTGACAATTCTCTGCAATTTTCTGCAAAAGTGCACACCCCAGTCCTTCCGGTCTTGTTTGATTTCTTGCAGGGTGAAAAGAAGTAACTTCTTTTGTATTACGGCTAACCAAACGTCCCAACCACGGAGTTATAAACATAACTTATACAACTTGTTGCCTATTACATGGGAAACCAGCCGATTCCTCATCCATCTAAAACACAGACATGTGCTTTTCACCTTCAGAACTGACAAGCATCTCAAGGTCTGAGGATCACCTGGGAAGAAATCCCACTGGAGCATTGCAGCACACCAAAGTACCAGGAGTCACTCTGGACCTTGCTCTGACTTACAAGAAGCACTGCAATGCAATATATTACTACTACTAATAATATGATGTTATAATTATATATTTAATTATATATTTATATTACATGTAATATTACTACTAATATTACAATATAATGGTATAGTACAATATAGTAATATATTATACCGATATTGTACTATGCTCTGAGTCCCCTGTGGGGGTGAGAAGGTTGGCATATAAATGTTGTAAATAAAATAATAAATAAAACAAATAACACGATCGTGCCATCACTGCCCAAGTGGTGACCACCTCACCCGCATCATAGAAAATCTGCTACAAAACAGGAGCTTTTTTGTTGAATTCCAGGGCCAGGGAAGCAAATGGCAGAAACAGAAGAATGGCCGGCCTCATGGGAGCGTGCTTGCTCCATCAGTGTTTAATATCTACACAAATGATCAGCCACTGCCAGACGGGATAAAGAGTTTCATCTACGCTGACAATCATGCCATCACCACTCAAGCAGGTAGCTTTGAAATGGTGGAAGAAAAGCTCTCCAAAGCTTTAGGTGCTCTTCCTGCCTATTGCAGGGAAAACCAGCTCATTCCTAATCCAGCTAAAACACCGACATGTTATTTTCACCTTAAGAACAGACAAGCATCTCATGCTCTGAGCATGACCTGGGAAGGAATCCCACTGGAGCATTGCAGCACACCAAAGTACCAGGAGTCACTCTGGACCTTGCTCTGACTTACAAGAAGTACTGCTTGAATATCAAGCAAAAAGTGGGTGCTAGAAATAACATCTGACTGGCACAACCTGGGGATCACAACCAGACACAGTGAAGACATCTGCCCTTGTGCTTTGCTACTCTGCTGTTGAGTACGCATGCCCAGTGGGGCTTCACTGTGTCTGGTTGTGATCCCCAGGTTGTGCCAGTCAGCTTTCGTATGATATTGTTTCTAGCACCCACTTTTTGCTTGATGTTCAGGCAGTGCTTCTTGTAGGTCTGAGCACGGTCCAGAGTGACTCCCAGGTATTTGGGTGCGCTGCAATGCTCCAGTGGGATTCCTTCCCAGGTGATCCTCAGAGCTCGGGATGCTTGTCTGTTCTTGAGATGAAAGGCACATGTCTGTGTTTTAGATGGGTTAGGGATCAGCTGGTTTTCCCTGTAATAGGCAGTAAGAGCACCTAGAGCTTCGGAGAGCTTCTGTTACCATCTCAAAGCTCCCTGCTTGAGCGGTAATGGCACGATCATCAGCATAGATGAAACTCTCTGTCCCTTCTGGCAGTGGCTGGTCATTTGTGTAAATGTTGAACATGGATGGAGCAAGCACGCTCCCCTGAGGCAGGCCGTTCTTCTGTTTCCGCCATCTGCTTCTCTGGCCCTGCAACTCCACAAAAAAGCTCCTGTTTTGTAGCAGGTTTCCTATGAGGCGGGTGAGGTGGTTGTCCTTGGTGATATTATACATTTTTCTCAGGAGGAGGCGGTGGTTCACAGTCTCATAGGCTGCTGACAGGTCTATGAAGACAGCTCCTGTGATCTGCTGCCTTTCAGAGCCATCTTCTATGTGCTGAGTCAGGTTCAGCACTTGCGATGTGCAGCTTTTGCCTTTCCTGAAGACAGTCAAAGGCTTTAGAATAGTCAATGAAGCAGAAGTAGATGTTTTTCTGAAACTCCCTGCCTTTCTCCATTCTCCAGGATCTGGATATTGGCAATTGGGTCTCTCCTTCCTTTGCCTTTTCCTCTTTCCTACATGAGAGGAATTCCACTCAAGCTCCCACTGAAGAACATGGGAGTCCTCATTAGACCTTCTGGACTAATGTGGGCCTTCTCTAATGTCTCTTTCCTGGCTCAAAACCTTCTTGTTTTGGCCAGACCATCCCTGCTCGTGTGGGCCTTCTCTAATGTCTCTTTCCTGGCTCAGGAACTTCTTAGGCCTGAAAAGGAAACCAAACCGACGCCATTTTGCGCCTCCTTTCCCAGCAGCCCCCGCGGCTTCGGATGCGCATGCGCCCTTCGGGAACGGAAGGAGCGCGCGCATGCGCAGTGGGCGCCCCGGCACTTCCGCCGTTGGAGAAGGAGGCCCAGGGAGTTTGGAGAGGCGCTTCCTTGGCAACAGGCAGAGGGAAGGTGAGGGGCCTGCGGGGGGTGTGAGTTGTAGTTCGGGGCGGGCCGCAGCGGGGAGAAGGCCCCACTGGGGCTGCCTCAGGTTCCTGGGATTTGTAGTTTGGGAGAGGCACCAGGCCTCTCTTCGGCGGGGAAAGGCCCAAGGCCTTGGCAAACTACAACTCCCAGCATCCAGGAGCCTTGAGCCAGCAGGCCTGTGAAACAGGGATCCAGCTGCCTTAGCTCTGCAGCACAGATGGATTAATCAAATGGTAATTATTATTATTATTATTATTATTATTAAAATAATATTATATATTATATTATTATTATATATTATAATATTGTTATAATTTATTATAATGTTACTATAATATATATATATAGATATATATATATATATATATTCTATAATATATCCAACTGCCTTATCTCTTCAGTACAGATGCATTAATCAAATGGTAATTATTATTATTATTAAATTAATATTATATATTATATTTAGTAATAATATAATATATAATATTAATTTAATAATAATAATAATTACCATTTGATTAATGCATCTGTATTAATCTGTAATATATTATAATATTGTTATAATTTATTATAATGTTACTATTATATATTTATACATTATATATATATATTCAACTGCCTTAGCTCTGCAGTACAGATTCATTAATCAAATGGTAATTATTATTATTAAAATAATATTATTATATATTATATTATTATTATATATTATAATATTGTTATAACTTATTATAATGTTACTATTATATATGTGTGTATATATGTGCGTGTGTGTGTGTGTGTATATATATATATCCAACTGCCTTATCTCCTCAGTACAGATGTATTAATCAAATGGTAATAATAATAATAATTATTAAAATAATATTATATATTATATTATTATATATTATAATATTGTTATAATTTATTATAATGTTACTATTATATATATATATATATATATATATATATCCAACTGCCTTAGCTCTGCAGTACAGATGCATTAATCAAATAGTAATTATTATTATTATTAAATTAATATTATATATTATATTATTATAATATAATATTGTTATAATTATAATATTGTTACAATTTATTATGTTACTATTATATATGTATGTGTGTGTGTGTGTGTGTGTGTGTGTGTGTATATATATATATTATATCCAACTGCCTTAGCTCTGCAGTACAGATGTATTAATCAAATAGTAATAATAATAATTAAATTATTATTATTATATATTATAATATTGTTATAATTTATTATAATGTTACTATAATATATGTACATATATTATATATATAATATATCCAACTGCCTTATCTCTTCAGTACAGATGTATTAATCAAATAGTAATTATTATTATTAAATTAATATTACTATATATGATATTATTATTATATATTATAATACTGTTATAATTTATTATGTTACTATTATATATGTATATATATATATATATATATATTCAACTGCCTTAGCTCTGCAGTACAGATGTATTAATCAAATAGTAATAGTAATTATTAAATTAATATTATATATCATATTTTTATATATTATAATATTGTTATAATTTATTATAATGCTACTGTAATGTAATATATATATATATATATCCAACTGCCTTAGCTCTGCAGTACAGATGTATTAATCAAATAGTAATAATAATAATAATAATAAAGAGCCTATACGATTCTTTTCAATTTCTGGCTGAATAACTTAAATTCTGATAATATCTTGACTTTGGTGTTTTAGCCATTCCATTGTGCGGCAGTGTTGTTCGGGTTGAATCGGTTGAGACTCTGTGTTGAGATATTTATAGAAAAACTGTCGCAAAATGTTCTGCAGGATGTCTCTCTTGCAACAACAAAGTTTTGGCAGTTGGATCAACGTTTTCCCATGACTTTATGATAGAACCAATTAGGAAACAACATTGGTAGCACAGGAACAAAAATCATGTAATAACTGTGTGTGGAGGGCGAACTCGGGATCTCTTGCAGGGAGAAAATTCTCTCCTCTCGCGGATGGAGTGTCACGCTTGGCCTTTCCTTCCTTTTCCCTGTTCTGCTTCTAGACGTCGAAGATGAATTTTGATGCGGCGATGCTTTGAAGTCCCGAAGGCTCCGTGGTTCAAGTGGTGGTATGAAAATGGCCGCCTTGCCAGGGACCTCTGTCGGGCCTCCTCCTCTTCCTCCGCCGGACCCGGGGGCCGCGGTGTGGGAGTGGCAGGACGAGTGTGGGCGCTGGAGACCGTACTGCAGTGGTGTGTGCTGCTACATCGAGCAGTCCTTCCAGGCCCTGGCGGCAAAGGGCCGGCGCTCGCTGGGGACCTGGCCCTTGCAAGGCAGCATCCCCCTGGGGCAAGCGGACCCTGCTTTGGCCCCCTACGTCATTGACATCCCCAGTTTGACGCAGTTCCGACAAGATACAGGTAATGTCCACAGGGTCTTCCATCTCCTAGCCAATTGGTAAACAGTGTGACTTGTGCGTGTTGATGGTTCACCTGCTGAGTAAAAAAATGGAAATGCAGTAACAGTAATAATAGAGCAAAGGCGGATCTGGCCAGAGTGGTCCATGCCTTGGTCACCTCCAGATTGGATTACTGCAATGCGCTCTACGTGGGGCTGCCCTTGAAGACGGCTCGGAAGCTCCAACTGGTCCAACGATCAGCAGCCAGGATGCTAACTGGGGCCCCTTACAGAGAGAGGTCAACCCTCCTGTTTAAGGAACTCCACTGGCTGCCGTTTATATTCCGAGCCCAATTCAAGGTGCAGGTGCTTACCTACAAAGCCCTGAACGGTTTGGGACCAGCCTACCTGCGTGACCGCATTTCCATCTACGAACCCACGCGTTCTCTTCGGTCATCTGGAGAGGCCCTGCTCGTGATCCCACCAGCGTCGCAAGCGCGCTTGGTGGGGACGCGGGACAGGGCCTTCTCCGTAGTGGCCCCCCAACTCTGGAACACCCTCCCCAAAGACCTTAGACAGGCCCCTTCATTGGCTATCTTCAGAAAGAACTTAAAAACCTGGCTTTTCCGATGCGCCTTCCCAGATTAGGAAATCTCCACTACCGAGTCCCACAAGCACTTTATCAGAACCAATGACTGCTGCACATTGCGCCCTAGAAACCCTTTATACACCTCCTGTCAAATCAGCACTTTTAATCCTTGTACCCACCTTTTGGCCCGGCCCAGTTTTATTGTGTTTTAATGTACTGTGCTTGTTGTTTATTTTGCTTTAATTTGTTTTAATTGTTTGATTTGCTTGATTGTATTGTTATGTTGTATTGTTGTGGCCTCGGCCTGTTGTAAGCCGCATCGAATCCTCTGGGAGATGCTAGCGGGGTACAAATGAAGTTTAATAATAAATAATAATAATAATAAATGTAATAATAATAATAACAGAGTAAAATAATAAATGTAATAAAAGCAATAATAATAATGATAATAGTAGTAGTAGTAACATAATGGATATGTGGTAATAATAGTAAATAGAGTAAAATAATAAATGTAATAAAAGTAATAATAATAATAGAGTAAAATAATGGAAATGTAGTACTAATAGTAAATAGAGTAAAATAATAAACGTAATAAAAGTAATAATAATAATAATAATAGAGTAAAATAATGGAAATGTAGTACTAATAGTAAATAGAGTAAAATAATAAATGTAATAAAAGTAATAATAATAAAAATAATAGAGTAAAATAATGAAAATGTAATAATAATAATAATAGTAAATAGAGTAAAATAATAAATGTAATAAAAGTAATAATAATAAAAATAATAGTAAAATAATGGAAATGTAATAATAATAGTAAATAGAGTAAAATTTCCGGAGTTTCGGAGTGCGATGTCATCTGTACGCGGATGATGTCCAACTCTGTCACTCCTTTCCACCTGCTACTAAGGAGGCTGTCCAGGTCCTGAACCGGTGCTTGACCGCTGTGACGGTCTGGATGAGGGCGAACAAATTGAAACTGAATCCAGACAAGACAGAGGTACTCCTGGTCAGTCGTAAGGCCGAACAGGGCATAGGGTTACAGCCTGTGTTGGATGGGGTCGCACTCCCCCTGAAGACGCAGGTTCGCAGCTTGGGTGTGATCCTGGACTCATCGCTGAGCCTGGAACCTCAGGTTTCGGCGGTGACCAGGGGAGCATTCGCACAGTTAAAACTCATGCGCCAACTGCGCCCGTACCTTGGGAAGTCTGACTTGGCCACGGTAGTCCACGCTCTGGTTACATCCCGTCTAGACTACTGCAACGCTCTCTACGTGGGGTTGCCTTTGAAGACGGCTCGGAAGCTCCAGCTAGTCCAACGCTCGGCAGCCATGATACTAACAGGAGCGGAGCGCAGGGAGCGTACAACTCCCCTTGCTGCACCAGCTCCACTGGCTGCCGATTTGCTACCGGGCTCAATTCAAAGTGCTGGCGTTGGCCTTTAAAGCCCTAAACGGTTCTGGCCCAACCTACCTATCCGAACGTATCTCGGCCTATCAGCCCACCAGGACCCTAAGATCTTCTGGGGAGGCCTTGCTCTCTATCCCGCCTGCTTCACAGGTGCGGCTGGCGGGGACGAGAGACAGGGCCTTTTCTGTGGTGGCCCCTCGGCTCTGGAACGCCCTTCCCATGGAGGTAAGATCAGCCTCCTCGCTGATGGTATTCCGAAGAAGATTAAAAACTTGGATGTTTGAACGGGCATTCGGTTAAACAGTGCAATGAATGTGATGATTACAGGAATGGAAATTTGGACGACGGATTGGATCACGACTCTAGTTATGAGATGCATTGTGTTGTCTATTGTTGTGTCAATATTGTATATTATGCTTTTATGGTTTTAAATTGTATATCGTTGATTCTTATCCTTGTTGTAAACCGCGTTGAGTCGCCTGTTGGGCTGAGAAACTGCGGTATACAAGTAAAGTAAATAAATAAATAAATAAATAAAATTATAAATGTAATAAAAGTAATAATAATAATAATAATAATAATGGAAATGTAGTACTAATAGAGTAAAATAATAAATGTAATAATAACAATAATAGAGTAAAATAATAATTGTAATAAAAGTAATAATAATAATAGAGTAAAATAATGGAAATGTATTAATAATAGTAAATAGAGTAAAATGATGTCACTTGGTGATAACAACAACAAAGTAAAATAATAACCTTGACTCAAGGGGAGGGCTTATACTCGAGCATATACGGTATGTTGAATTTGTTTGTAAAGTGGAACAGGGACATTTTTACAGTGTAACTCCATATATATATACACATACACACACACACATATATATGTGTGTGTATATGTGGCATATATATATATATATATATATATATATATATACACACATACACATACATACATACATACATATACAGCAAAGGAAACTCAACAGGGGTGTTCACCTTTCCCTATGTGATCAAAAACAATATGTGCGAGTGTGTGTATATATATATATATATATATATAATAACACTTCCAGGAGTGGATTTTCCTTCTTTCCAAGAAGTGGATTCCTGTCACTTCCTGTTGTCTCAGGAAGGAGTCAGTTGTAAGGCAGATGTTTGTAACTCAGGGACTGCCTGTAATATGTTTCCTCTTTCCCTCCTCCTCCTCCTCCTCGCAGGGACCATGCGCTTGGTGCGGCGGCACGTTTTCCCACTGGATTCGGCGGCCGGGCAAGGTGTGGTCTGGGAGTGGCAGAACGACGAAGGCGGCTGGTTCCCGTACGAGATGAACGTCTGCGTCCACATGGAACAAGCCTTCGCTTTCAAGAGCCCCCAGGTGGACCTCGGTCCCTTTGGCTACAACTACGGGATCGACTTCACTTCACTCACCCAGACCAACAAGGCGACCGGCTACCAGCGGCGCATCCAGAGGCGCCTGGACTCGCCCTACCCGGTGACCATGGCTTCGGGATGGCCTCCTGTTCCTCTTGTTCCTCCTCCTCCTCCTCATGCGGGAGCGTCGTGTTCGTGCCAGCAGTGCCTGCTCAACAGCGGGCCCGGGCCCATTGCCACACGCTACCGGCACTCCATCCTCAACCTTCCAGGCCCTTCCGCTGGGAGCGGACCCCGGCCCTTTGTCGGGATGCAGGGAGTCGCCGGCAGGACTGCGGGGCTGGGCCACTCTCCAGTGGGCTTTGTCCCTTACAGCAAACCCATCCTTTCCGGAGCTCGCTCGATGCCGAAGCTGAGCGTTCACAGTTTGGGGGCGGCAGCACCGCAACCGCCGACAGTCATTGGGCCCAATCCGCCGCATGGTGCACCCAAACCGGTCAGGTATGCTATATTTGGGGGGCAAGGGGGAATCGTGTGCACTGTAGGATGAATGCTCCTGAAGTAGCTTCCCTTTTTATTATGTGAATAGAATGCACACCCTAAATTTGGCAAGGTAATTCAAGGTTAAACCGCTGAACTGCTGAACTTGCTGACCAAAAGGTTGGTGGTTCGAATCTGGGAGTGGGGTTGACTTCTCTAGGTGGATTAGTCAGGACGGTAAATAAAGAACAACACTCAGAAAAAAGGGGAAATCCATACAGGAAACAATCAGAGCCAGCTAACACCTCCCAACAAGGGATTCCCCCAGGCAGGAAGCAGCCAGGCCTTGAAGCTGCATTCTGCCATAAAGGAAGACACCAGAAACCGGGGAAACAGGCAGAACTTTTTTTCATCACGTAATTGTCTCACCCCCTTTTTTTCAAGGCTTTGCAATGCTAATCAAAGTGATTAATTGCAGCATTCACACTTACCTCCAACAGTCAAGAGTTTATTTATTTATTTATTTATTTATTTATTTATTTATTGCATTTGTATACTGCCTTTCTCAGCCAGAGGTGACTCAAATAATAAATGTAATAAAATTAATAAATGCAGACACCTACTAACCCAGGGAGTGACCATCACTCAAAAAAATTTGATTTTGTCATTTGGGAGTTGTAGTTTCTGGGATTTATAGTTCAACTACAATCAAGGAGCATTCTGAACCCCACCAACGGTGGAGTTGAACCAAACTTGGCACACAGTTCTCCCATGTCCTACAGAAAATACTGGAAGGGTTTGGTGGGCAATGTCCTTTGGTTCTGGAGTTGTAGATCACCTACATCCAGAGATCACTGTGGACTCAAACAATGATGGATCTGGACCAAACTCGACACGAATACTCAATATGCCCAAATGTGAACACTGGTGGAGTTTGGGGAAAATAGAATCTTGACATTTGGGAGTTGTAGTTGCTGGGATTTATAGTTCACTTACAATCACAGAGCATTCTGAACTCCACCAATGATAGAATTGGGCCAAACCTCCCATCAGGCAGTTCCTTGAACCTCCAAACAACGTGTGTTTTGCAAGGAACGGACACAATGATACGTTCACGAAACCCTGGATTCCGCCCTCCATCTTCGAGAGCCTGGGAGACCCCACTGTTAGCCGCGGAAAGAATGGTGGTTTCAACGCCCAGAGACAGTCCCTGGGCGGCAGCTGCCTTTTTCCTCTGGCATAATAGCCTCCTGTCGGAAGCGTGGTAATTACCTCTGCATATTTGCAGCTCGTCAAAATCCCTAATGTACACAATTAGAGGAAACCGGAGCAGGCAGCCGTGGCCGTGCCCCTTCCTTCCTTCTTTCTGTCCCTTTGCCCAGATTGGAACCTTCCTTCCTGCGCTTCCCAGTCCGCACCTCCTTGTGTTCTCACACTCCGTATTGACTCTCTGCTGGAACTTGGAAAAGAACCAATTAGAAAATGACATTGATAACCCAGGAACAAAAATGTTAGATAGTGCAATCGGTGCTCTTTGCCGAAAAGGGGGTGAGACTATTACGTGGGGGGAAAAAAAATCTGCCTTTGATTCCCCGGTTTCCGATGTCTTCCTTTATGGAAGGAAGGAAGTATAGTGCCAATGTTTTAAAACTTTGTTTGTGATTTTAAATACATTACATCTGTACCATTGGTGTTTCACTTCTGACACGATAAATAATTGAAAAAAGGGGGTGAGACTATTACGTGATGAAAAAAAAAAGATCTGCCTTTCATTCCCCGGTTTCCGATGTCTTCCTTTATGGAAGGAAGGAAGACATCGGAAACCAGGGAATCAAAGGCAGATTTTTTTTCATCACATAATAGTCTCACCTCCTTTTTTCAATTATTTATCATGTCGGAAGTGAACCAATGGTACAGATGTAATGTATTTAAAATCACAAACAAAGTTTTAAAACATTGGCACTCTACTCAAATGTCCTTTGACCAGAAGCTGGCCACATGGAGTTCCTCTGGTGTTGCTATAAGGAGGACCTCCATTGTGCATGTGGTAGGGCTCAGAACGCATTTTGTAAGTGGTCTGTTGTTTGCTCTTCTCCTCACTTGCATTATTTATTTATTTACTTACTTACTTACAACATTTATATGCCGCCCTTTTCAATCCAAGATATATATATACATACAATATATATTATTAGCATAGTACAATATCAGTATTAAATATTACTATATTGTACTATACCATTATATTGTAATATTATTAGTAATATTACATGTAATATAAATATATAATTATAACATCATTATTTTTAGTAGTAGTAATACATTGCATTACATTATAATATTATAAGCATTATATGTATATACAATATATTGTCATATATTATATCACATTATAATATTATAAATATTATATGTATATACAATATATTGTCATATATTATATTACATTATAATATTATAAGTATTATATGTATATACAATACTAGCTGTCCCCTGCCACGCGTTGCTGTGGCCCTATCTGGTGATCTGGAAAATAAAGTAATTAGAAAGTGTTTCAGTTCTTGTGGGTTTTTTCGGGCTATATGGCCATGTTCTAGAGGCATTTCTCCTGACGTTTCGCCTGCATCTATGGCAAGCTTCCTCAGAGGTGAGGTCTGACCTCACCTCTGAGGAAGCTTGCCATCGATGCAGGCGAAACGTCAGCAGAAATGCCTCTAGAACATGGCCATATAGCCCGAAAAAACCCACAAGAACTGAGTGATTCCGGCCATGAAAGCCTTCGACAATACATAGAAAGTGTTTGTTTCTAATCTATGTAATGTCTTTCTGCTCATGGGTTAAAAGTATTTCTTGTTGTTTCTTTGTCAGTGTTAATGTGGAGATTGTCTGGTTTGTCTACTCTGGAACATGCAACATATCATTGTCCTTCTTTAGGGGCCCCTTTCAAATCTTTGATACTGCATCTGTCATATACATATGTGTGTGTGAATGGCTGGATGGCCCTTTGTCAGGAGGGCTTTGATTATGTTTTCTTGCCCTGGTGAAGGGAGTTGGACTGGATGGCAGCATTTCTCAACCTGGGAAGTCAAGACCCCGGGGGGGGGCAGGGAGGTGTCAGAAGGGTCGGCAAAGACCACCAGAAAACACAGTATTTTCTGTTGGTCATGAGGGTTCTGTGTGGGAAGTTTGCCCCAATTCTTGTCATTGGTGAGGTTCTGAATGCTCCTTGATTGTAGAGGAACTATAAATCCCAGTAACTACAACTCCCAAATGTCAAGGTCTATTTTCCCCAAACTCCATCTGTGTTTATATTTGGGCATATTGAGTATTAATGCCAAGTTTGGTCCAGGTCCATCATTGTTTGAGTCCACAGTGCTCTCTGGATGTGCTCTCTGGATGTAGGCGAACTACAACTCCAAAACCAAAGGACCCTGCCCACCAAACCCTTCCAGTGTTTTCTGTTGCTTATGGGGGTTGTGTGTGGGAAGTTTGGCCCAATTCTATTGTTGGTGGAGTTCAGAATGCTCTTTGATTGTAGGTGAACTATAAATCCCAGCAACTACAACTCCCAAATGACAAAATCAATTTTTTTTTAGTGAAGGACATACATTGGGTTGTTAGGTGTCTTGTGTTCAAATTTGGTGTCAATTCCCCCAGTGGTTTTTAAGTTCTGTTAATCCCACAAACGAACATTACATTTTTATTTATATAGATATTGTACTATACCATTATGTTGTAATATTAGTAGTAATATTACATATACTATAATATATGATTATAACATCATATTATTATTAGTAGTAATGTATTGCATTACATTATAATATAAATATTATGTATATACACACACACACAAACACAATATATTATAGTGATTAGACTAGCACATAATAATAATAATAATAATAATAATAATAATAATAATATCCTCACTACCTCTGAGGATGCTTGCCAAAGTGCAGGCGAAACGTCAGGAGAGAATGCCTCTAGACCATGGCCATACAGCCTGAAAAAAGCTGCAACAACCCATAATAATAATAATCTTTATTTATATTCCGCTTCTCTCCCTACACAGGACCCAAAGCTTCTCCATTCTCCGTACATTACCGATGACATTGTTTTTCCTTTTGTCTCCTCAGCATCCCAAAGCTCCCCGTCAGCATGTCCAGGCCCAGCAAAGTGAGCCAGGCCCTCTCAGGTAACGTTACACCTGCCATTTGCTACCTTCTCTCTCACCCATTCCTCGAGTTGCTAATATATAGGTCCATCTATGTATATCTTTCTCGCACTTATCCACACCTTGCAAAGCTGCATACAGCCCTAAAGCGTGAGCTGCAGCACATAAAGTACGGAACGCACACAGATCTAGAAATTCCTAGAGAGATATTATCTCAGTTGAGTGTAACTCCAGCCGAAATAGGTGTAAGGAAAATCTATTTGTCCTCATTTTCTTTGAAGGGCTCTTCAGAGCTGCGCTTCCCTCTCCCTGAATTGCTTCCGTGCATTTGCTTTGTGTCTCTCTGTGTGTGTTTATTTGGCTCTTCTGGAATCAGGGCCTGGGGTGTTGGTTGCTTTGATTTTTCGGTTTGGTTTCCGCAGTGACGGTATGACGTCCCGTGTTCTCCCCTCCTCCTCCTCCTCCCCTCGCATGCCTGCCTCCTCCCCCGCTCCCTTCTAGGCATGATGGCCTTTCTGATGTCCGTCCCGGGACTTCCGGTGCAGCTCGTCAAAGCTCAAAGAGGCTCTAGGAAGCGCCCCTCCGTTGTTAAGGGAGGCAAAGGTAGCCCCGCTTGCCTGGACCCGCTCTCAGCTTGCTGCTTTCCTCCTCCTCTTCCTTTGCCTTGGCTGAGAAGGGCCCTAGATGCTTAGAAGAGCCCCCCAAAGGCCATCCAGTCCAACCCCCTTCTGCAGCAGCGTGACCCAGCACCAGTAGCAAAAAGTGATAAAAAGAACGACAGCACAGAGATCAATGTTGTCTCTTCCATTGGAGGCTTTTATTTAGAGTAAAGTAACATGGTTTCCCATCGTGGTCAACTGTGAATCACACATATGGTAGTTTCTGCGCCTGAGCAGACACTACCATATGTGCAAATTCACAGGTGACCACTCAGGAAACTACGGTTACAGGTAAGCAACCTATATTTCCACTATTTACAAGGTTTCCACAACACAAAGTTCTTTATACTTCCTTCCTGGGCTTCTTTCTCATGCAGATGAAGAAATTCGCTCTCACAGAGGCTGCTCTCACACCGAAGTTACACAGGAGCTTCACACAGTAGCTTTACACACAGCAGCCTTCGCACTGAAGGTTCACACATGAAGGCCTTCAACCTGTGGCTTCTTTCCCACTGAGGCCTTCTCTCAAACTGAAGCTTCACTCACAATGGCCTTCAACCTGGGGCTTCTCTCACACTGAGGCAAACTAACACTGAGGCCTTATTTATTTGAAACATTTATATTCCGCTCTTCTTACCTCGAAAGGGACCCAGGGCGGAGCACAACATATACGGTAAGCATTCCATGCCAAAACATAAAATAACTATAAATATACACCAACACTCAAATCAGTTACATCTAGTTTAAAATCAGTTGTTTTAAACCATCGCGAAACACCATGCAGGCTCTGTTGCAGAACTGAAAGAATGGAAGCCTACTAACACTGAAGCCTGCCTCAT